CTATAGTCTTAGTACTGTAAAAGAACACACACACACAAAATGAGTTAGATTATAAATTCATCTGTAACCTATTTTAGATTTAAACATTAAAAGATGATTTGTTCAACTATTAAGCTCTTTGTAAAAAAAAAAAAAACGTAATTCAATTTTATATCATGATAATTCAAAGGAATTCATTAGAAACAATGTTTTACAGACACCCTCGCCACAGTGCCACAGACCCCACATAAAGACTCCAAATGCAGCATCTGACCCAATTCTCTCTGGTTGGACACTTCCATCTTCACCTTACTTTTCACTCTGGTTACGTAAACATGAAAGTTATGGTTAGTGCGCTTTTGACACATATCATTTACTGAAAGATGGCTGCAAACCATACTTTGCTGTATATGATGTTGACCAGCCTTGCAGAGGTGTACATGGAAGTCTGCATTGGTTCTGTGGAGGACCGGGTTCAGCAGGGGCGGAGTGCTCTACATGCGTTCAGCCATTGAATTATTCAACCTTATGAATCATTGAGTCTCGACACTCCTTTTTAGGCCCTCGCCTCAGAGCTCCAGCCTCACAGCTACCTATGAACATCTGAAGGAAGAACAACAGAGAACAGTCATCAGAAGTTTAAGTACATGTATCCATCTATATGAGCAGAATAATTACATTTTATTTAAGAAGATGCGGTTGTTGACTTACTCACAGATTTCAGCATCCAAACTAAATCTAAATGTCTGAAGGCAATCACTTAAATCACTGAATCACACCTAAATATATAATACTATTTTAATTATGGTGACAAGCCTAAGTGTTGTCATATAATTGTATTTGATTGCAAAAAGCATTTATGTACCCCTTTCTTAAAAAAATTACATTTTAGTTCTTGACAAATGTACACTCACTCACAAAGATACTGCAGTACAACAGGCAGGCAGCCTACATCATGTTGCATTATTTTTCTCTGCCAAGTCTGCTATAAATACACAGAGATGCTCGTGTATCTCTATGTCTTCTATAGAGACAGTGTATGTGTTCTTGTGAGGTAACAATGTTTAATGCATGCTGCTGCTCCTCAGTGCTTCTGCTGCTGCTGGCTGTGTGGAATAACAGGTTTGGACAGAAGGCTGCTGGCTCCGGCTCTGAAGAGCAATAGATCATTTCACAGATCATCACACCCAAACATAAACACACACTTTTGTGAACACACACGTACACAGGATAAAACAGCACAACAAATTGGTAGACCATTTTTTAAAAAGCAGAAATGAAATACATTCAGTCCTCACCGTATCATGTATTTTTTGTAGGTTTTTACTTTTGCAGATTTTTCAGAGAGCTGAGATGAGACAGTGTGTAACAAACTGCATCCGCTATTTGAACACACCCATCACATCATTCGTATGGATAATATGAACTAGATTAAACTGTAAGGCATAATTACATAGTTTGGGTTGTTTTGTACTAAAGACAATATTGGTTTTAAAACAATGAATCCAATATCATGGATGCTGATGACGTTGACCTAATCTTTTATTTTCAATACAAATGTGGAGGGGGTAGGACCAGAAAAGTGTTTAAGCTTCTTCTTGCCCCTTTTGAACATGACAGAGACTATTTGAGAATTTATTTTATTGTACCTTGAACGTTTTTTTGTTGTTGTTTTGCTTCTCTTTGATTTAATTATTATTATAATTATTGTTTGTTTTGTTTCTGACATGTTCAATACATTGACTAATAAGGCATCATATAATTACATAGACACAGGTTTTGTGCATTTCTTTGGCAAATTATACATCTCATAATGATTTGTTCTTTATGTTTCTAATGCGTTTCTTTGGGGTTATAAGCTTATGTTGTCATGCTCAAAAACCTATATAACACACTACAGGACAGGGGGACCCTCCAAACGCCTTTAAGGCCCCTTTCAGATGCTTAAATGTCTTGTTAAGGCGCTCTCCATGGTCCTGTTAGCACATTATGGAATGTGTGCTGATGTTGGTGCTGTCCATGGTCCTTAGAATGATACCAACATTATACATTTCTATCTATCTATCTATCTATCTATCTATCAGCCTGGTTGTTGTTTCTCTCTCTCTCTCTCTCTCTCTCTCTCTCTCTCTCTCTCTCTCTCTCTCTCTCTCTCTCTCTCTCTCTCTCTCTCTCTCGTCCTCTCTCTCTCTCTCTCTCTCTCTCTCTCTCTCTCTCTCTCTCTCTCTCTCTCTCTCTCTCTCTCTCTCCTTCATGCCCTTGTGGTGGGGTCAGCCTAACTCTCACAGCAGGAAGCCTTGCTAAAGTGGACACAAGGAAAAACGATCCCTTTCTAACATATCGAATAGACATTTAAGGTTGTGCTGTTATCGATTGGCGTTTGCACGTGTAATGTTACTTTACTAATTCAATTTCTTCAAATTGGTAGATTAATTCTCCCGGTCATCCTTAAATCTGTATGTATGACCATTTCCCATTCACCGAGGCGGATATTTACTGGAGTCAATCAATTAGATCACATAATAGAGTAAAAGAATGTCGTATTAAGATGTTGTGGGCTGCTGCCTTCCCCCCCACGTACGGGGGTTGGGGTAACGTGGCACCAGTTTACTGAGTGCCTCATGACATTCATTGAATATAAGACAAGTCTTTGCAATCACTCTCAATGAACAGCAAATCCAATAAAGGCTTCCCTTCAATCAAAGACAATAGTTATTCATGCTAAAACTGAATATGTTTCACCATTAACATTGCCGTGTTGGGCATAGAATTAGTGTATTGAATTTCTTTGGGGGAAACACGTGTCTTAAAGGGATTGCAGATCTTATAATATGTCGGCATTGTCCCTTCACTTTGTCTTTGTTATGTCATTGTCTCATTGACAATATTTGTACCCATAACACATTTGTCGCACCTTGGCTCCCGTGTTTTGAAGCCATGAGAAAAGCCCTGAGGAGAGAGAAGAAGAGAGGAGAGGAGAAGAGAGGAGAGGAGAGGAGAGGAGAGGAGAGGAGAGGAGAGGAGAGCCAGGGAAGAACATCCTCGACTTGGTTTCGTGGGAGGGAGGGAGGAGAGAGCTCTCTTCGTCCATTAATTTCCAAATGTCTGTTGCTAAGAATAGCCTCCCCCTCCACCTTCCCTAACAAACACACGCAGACTCACACGCGCACACTTAGACGCGCATGTACTCTCTCTCACGCGCCCGTGTGCGCGCAGTCATTGTGAGCTTTGGTTGCAGCTGTATCTTTGCACAAGCTGCATGATGCCAACACCCCTCCTCTCCGTCACACGCGCATCTGGCTATAATGAGCATTCTTATTAGGTCTTTATGAAGTATCCACTCATACAGAGGTGGACGGAAATGAGAAACACAGTCACATAGTTGTCACCTCACCCTCTACGCCAACAGGCTCTTTTACGCATTATCTGAGATACATAGGAGTTGGGCTGCTTGAGAGGTACCGTCCAACTGGTCAGGGCTGCAGCCCGAAGCACCTTAAAATAAACAGGCTATGTCGATGCCTCCCTGCGTGACATACGTCTGGAAGTTGGACAGGCTGCGTGCGTCATGTGCTGCGGCTGCAGAACCGAGCAGGCTCACATAGTTCACACACACTGAGAGACAACGATTACGTGCGCGTTGCGACTTATTTGATTTATAGGCAGACACCGGCTAGAATTCCAAAAAAACAGCCGGTCCCCTCCCTTTTCATTTTATTTCTTCTTCGTCCATTCACCGATCCATCTATCCGTCCGTCCGTCTGTCCCTCCTCCTCCTCCCCTTGGGGCTGCTGGACGAAGAGCGAGGAGGCCGTGAGGAACGCTCTACCCTACTCCAATGAGAGAGAGAGAAAGGACGCTCTGCCAGGACATTTGGGCTTATCAGTGCGGACGAAGGTAGACTTTTCGGGGCGGGTATGGTGAGGGACTTTCTCGGCACTGCTGCACCTCGAACAGCCAAACCAAGATCATGAGAGGGTGTAAGACGGCGGAGAAGCGGCCGGCATACCCTTGTCTTTGACGACGCGGTCCGTGTGTCCCTTTCTCAGCTTCTGGATGGCCGCGCAGGTGACGGAGAGAAGATGATGGATGCAACGAAGGAGGATGTTATTGAATTCGTTTGAGAACATTATTTGATCTTCAACGCTCGACAACAATGACACTGATATTTCAAAGGAAAACGGTATTTTTCTTTCACCTTTCTCCTCGAGATTGTCTAGTCTGAATAATACGCATTAATAACAAATGTCACAATATTCAAGGCTTGTCAGAGCGCACTAGTAAAACAACTGTAAGGTGGCGGGAGCCCCATTATTGCCACACTGTGCCAAACATTGCGGATGTTTGAAATAAATAAATAATTGTTGCTTTTTCCCTTTTCGATGCCTTTTAAGTCTCTGTTTCCAAAATGCCAAGTTGGACGCTAGTGACGGCCGTAGCTCTAGGCTGTTAATTATTTTCAGATTTATATTCGAAATCAGATTTATTGAGGCCTGTGTGATATTAAAGGCGTTTAAATTTTGATTACACGCTGTTATGAGAGTAAAGGAATAAATCGTCCAGAAAGGTGCAGGAGGCTGCGGTGCGCTCTGATACAGGCATGAACCATGGAGAACATGAAACATTCATGTTAAGTCGCTACAGTCTCCCCATGATTTCATGTTGGGGGCGAATCCTGCTTCATACGGACATAAGAACCGACTTAGACTGAGACACCCCACAGCACTACCCCACAGTGCAACCAGTCAGCCAAACGACCGCACATTTCATTTCCTCACACCCACAATTGGCCGTTGGCAGAGACGCACTGACAAGGAGACAGTACATGGGCGTCCTCGTCTGCTAAAAGCATCATATAACTGCTCGCCGGGTGCAGGTGTTCAGCATTAAACCAACAAGACAACCCGTTGTGCATATGAGACGTTCCGATCCAGATGGGATGTAATGTTGTGTGGCTGCACAGCTGAGCATTGGTCTCCTTCTCCGCTGCTTCGTGAAGATTGGATTTCGGTGTCCAGAGAATGGCGCGGTTTGGAGATGAGGTACCGGCCAGGTATGGCGGAGGGCCCGGCGGAGGGGGCCAGGGTGGCCGCGGTGGTAGCAGGCAAGGAGGACCCCACGGACACGTTCATGGACACGGACACGGCCATGGCCACGGTGCACCCGGAGGGCCCGGGGTCCAGAGAGTGTACAAGCAGTCTATGGCGCAGAGAGCCCGGACTATGGCCCTCTATAACCCCATCCCCGTGCGCCAGAACTGTTTCACTGTCAACCGCTCGCTGTTCATTTTCAGTGAGGATAACTTCATCAGAAAATACGCCAAAAAGATCACCGAATGGCCATATCCTTTACCTGGTACAGTGAGTAAAAGCTGATAATGTAGGCCCTGCTGGAGGATCAGGTAGGCCTATGTGCAAACAGTGTCTGATTGGATGATTCACATGTTTTCTTATGCCATGAGTTAAAGTCATCATAACAAAGGTGTAAATGCATCAATGCAAGCCTGTGTGAGATATGTTACAGAAGGTGACAGAGGGAAAGCTGGAAGTGTAATTTATAGTTAATTAACAGGAGGGGGCATGAACCAGCGGCCTCTTTTACGAGGCTGTTGATCACCATCAATCACATTTGTTAGTAATTTCACGTCACAGTCGCGAGGGAACTGCTTGATATACACTTCCTGTGTGTGTGTGGCGTGTGTGGTGGTGGTGGTAGTGGTTTTTAGGGGGTGGGATGCGGAGGGGTGTAGGGGGCGCTGCTGGTTGCTGATGTCAGCATGTGCAGTAAAGGCCTAGCGCTGCTATAGAGAAGCAGGAGAGAGAGGGGGGAGGGGAGGAAAGAAGGAAAGGTGGGAGAGACCTAGAGAGAGAGACACAAATAAGCATCCACAATGATTGTGTGTGTGTGTGTGTGTGTGTGTGTGTGTGTGTGTGTGTGTGTGTGTGTGTGTGTGTGTGTGTGTGTGTGTGTGTGTGTGTGTGTGTGTCCTTCCTTGCAGTGATGCACATAACAGCTACCATATCAGCACGATACAGGTGTCTTTCAAGATATGGTCTGTGTGTGTGTGTGTGTGTGTGTGTGAGAGAGAGAGAGAGAGATAGACAGGTATATGAGTGTGAGTATGTTAGGATATTAACTTGTGCATTGACACAGTATTTAATGTGTCCCCCACTTTTGAGCCACCTCTTAATCACACAAGCTGCAGGTGTCACTATATGAATGTGCCACCATTTCAAACTGTGTGTGCGTGTGCATGTGTACTACAACCGCTAAGCGTGACAGCGTTACATTTCAAGCAATTCCCTGTTTTACCATCTTTCATGAAAACCAGCACGTATTGCACCATTCGGGGGGGGGAGAAAATAGAAAGTGATTTAAGCATTTCCATTTGCAGGATTTGTGTATGTCTGTGTGAGTGCATGCAAATGTGGAAGTAAGTTTCTGTGTGAGTGTTAATGACAAGAGGGGAAATTGAAGTAATGATTGTATTGATCCATGCTGATGCTTGAGCCGTGACATAACACACTAATTGGGCTGCTCTGGTAAAATGCAGGAGCTACTTATAGTGCCTCTGAATCATGTCTATTCACCATCTAAATGATAGATGTGTGTGTTAGTAAGGGAGAGTGTGTGTGCAGAAAATCTGTTCCTTTACAAAATACAGATTTAATAACTCTAACTGCAGTCTCAAAGTAGTACATTTATTTTTGAATGAAAGTAGTCATTTGTATAATGTTCTCATAGGATTGATTACTTACTTTTTGACAAAACATTTGGGGATTTGCGTGTTACTTTGGTTATTAGTCAGGATGTGTTTCAGCACTAAAAGTGTTTTCATCTTGATAAAACTCTTCTGACTAACTCATGTTGCAATGATTTCCACCTTGACTGTGCTAATAACAAAATAGAGAAAGAATAACATTAGTGAAAATAATTGGTGGGTCTCCTGGTAACTTGATCCAACATGCAAGGCACTAGGGAATGCAAAGGAAACTATAGATTGCCTTGTATTGGCCTTTGAAATAAATACTTTCTACAGTGGCTCAAGCTGTTTGGTTAAAGTTCAAACAACTTTTCTTTGAGTGGCAAGTTGCAATTTACCTATTTTTTAAAGAGGACATTTTGACATGTTGGAAAAGCCACTTTGTAAATAATAAAAAACAATGATGGCTGAATTCCAGTTTCTGGTTCTTGGTAATGTGCAGGCTGACTCACTGTCACAATGTCACAGCTTTCAGCGACACATGAATAACACTGTGCCATTATTCATGTTATTAGTAACACCTGTGCCTTTCCTACTATGACAGGTGGTCTGTTGGGAAAGACATTCCATGCCTCACTGCACAAACTGTCATATAGCTGATCCCACTCAATACTTTTCCTTTTTCCCCATTTGTATATTTGGCAGCATAGCGAATGTCCCTAGCCCTTTGATGACAGGTCTGGTGAAGGCAGGAAGGCCAAAGAATAAAGCTAAACTACAGTAAATATATTAACTTCTTTATGTAAGGAATACATGTGAACATGAACAGAAGTACAAAAGAAATAACAAGTATGTTGTACAGTGCAAAGCTGTAAAATGAATACAATTGTTAGGTTAATCGCATATCACAAGTCTTTAAATAGCTGAACGTGTTAAACTGTTGATTTCAAGACATACGAATGCTTGGTGCATTACACATGTTTTATTCTATTTGCTTGACACAAGCAGGTTGGTTTGTCGTGACTTCATGATTGGTCTAGAGGAGGGTTTCAGGTTATAGATTTTTCTGAAGTTGCTCTTATGTATCCATTCGTGATAATAAACGTCTTTCAGATATAGTCTCAACACCAGCGGTGTTTGAAGAAAAAAACATGAACACCAGTTTGATCTAATATAATCCAACACAATAGCTCGGCAATAACTCCTCCCTTTGTGAGGCTTATAATGTTCAATATTTGCTGAGATTGTGTCAGGGTGTTATTGATTCAATGTATCTGTAATTTCTGAAGCTGTGCTTTGTGGTGTTGTTGTTTATAGGATTGTAATAAATTGCGTGGTGTGGCTTGAACAGCATTTTATCCCCTTCACCAGAGAATTCATTCACATTACACTGTCCATTCTCTGTGTAACCTTGTCTATTGTGGGCAATCTTGAGTACGTTTGAGATACAGTTGACGTTATTGTGTGGCCTAATGTGGGGAATCTAACCAAGCTGAGGCTATAGGGAACAAAATAACCTTCATGATGAAATGCTATTTTGAGATTTTTCATAACCTACTTCAATCGATATTCCAAAGACAAAAACCCACAGCATCCTTTGAAACTCTTCCAGTAAAAGTCTCATTAAAACACTGTATTAAATCACCCATTTTTATGTTAAGGATTGAGTTATATCTGCCTGATTCCTGTTTAATTGCCTGTTGAATGGATTAGGTTCAACTAAATTATCTAATGTGCTAAAAGCTTGACACGCTTGAGGTAGTCCTCACTCTGCAGAAGGTGATAATTCCCCTAACAATCATAGGTTCATTTCAGGTAACACCAGACCTCACTGTGGACACTGTGATGTGAGTTGATATGCTGCACATCCATATAATTGACAGAAAATGTATACTAGATTGAGTGAAAGTAGATTTTCCAATCAATTGTCAATATTAACCTCAACCAAAAGCCCTTTATCTATTTTAACCACCCTTTTTTCATTTTGGAGTAAAAGAGTAGCCCTCTGAAATCCACCATTGAAATGTCCCCACCACAGATAATGCATCGGCATAAATAAATGATATGTACTTTATATGCTGTCATATTGCAGAAACAATAAAAAGGCAGGGTCATACTGGCACATATTGAACATTAGTGGACCCAAAAGTAACCTTCTGAATATGGTACCCTGATTCAATGTCCTTCTCCGACCATTCATTGGGAAAGGTTAATGTAAATATTAATGTAACGCAATGTAGAAAAGGGCAGAAATATGATTGGTATTAAAATGCTTAGGAGGATTCATTCATTAGAACCTGCAGCCAACAGAAGTGCATTTAATTTAACTGACCGATGTTTCACTGAATAGTCATTAAAGCAGTGTTTTGATTCACCAGATGCATAAGTCTCAGTGGATTCACTATTCAGCAGAATTATGACCTGCGGCTTTATTTAGTTGTGAACAGTCTGGACCCATGGGAGTACCATATAAATAACCATTCTCTAACATCCACATTTAGATACAATAGACGGATATTTGGTTGTTTAATTAGAATTACAGAGTTCAGGGTGCTACTGTGACATTTTCTTATTGGGAACAAGTGGTAGGCAAATAGTGTCTTGTGGAATATAATAAATAACTGGATGTATACTTAGTAACAAGTATACAAATATATACGAATATATATGAACTACACAAACAGAGCATAGTGGTTATCCAACCTTAGAATGTTTGCATGCATTAGAATAAAGGTACTTTCATATAATTTAATTATATTCATCCTTAATCATAGCCCTGGATGTTATTTTTTTGATCCGCAACACTACAGCCACTTTTTGTTCATTTACGGTAAATCTCTTTGCGTGCTTCCGTCCGTAAGTAACGTCTTCAGTCCGTGTGCGCGTCATGGTGTGCGTGAGTGACTGCTACCTGACGTACTATGAAATACCCCACCTGCCTCGAAACGTCTTCGGTAATGCTTTTGGCAGGAGCAGTCAACGAGCAGTGAGTAGCCTACAGCTAACGTTAGCATCTCGGTCGACTTCCAAAATAAACTAAAAGCTAACTTATTCCAGTTAAAGGACGTAAATGAGGCTGGAACTCAGGTTACTAAAATAACACCCAACCTGCAACATTTTCCTTAAAAAGGACTAGCTTCAAGTTATTCAGTTTATAACTCAATGTTACGGTATTTAGCATAATGTGTTATCCTTGTGCATATAATTATGTGCATGTTATCTTATGGTTTTGGACATTTCAGATTCTGAAAAAAATATATATGGTCACTAGTAAAACTATAACACTTAAATTAACAGCCAGATTGTTTGATATTGAATCCCATTTAATTGTTGTTTTGTGAGAGAGTGGACCATAAAAACATATCAAATCACCCAAAAATTCATGCCCCAGAACTATTGCACAGAATAGTGTAGTGTAAAACAAGAATTGTATTTGTGCTAGTGTCCTACTCCTTATCATGTGCTCAGCAGTAACATATCATGTTGCGTGCTGAGGGAAAGTTGAAACTGAATCCTATCTGACATTAGAAATAAATTCCCCATTGGCTGCTCCACTGACCTTTGACCCTGAATGTCTATTTGACCTTTTCAAATCCATACCAGGAGTAAATGTAATCCATGAAGCCCTGCATATTGTT